CCCCCTCAGTTTCCAGTCACTGGGGTGACAGACAGAGGATTTTCCTCCAGAGTATTAGAGTGTGTTTCTCCACTCTTGGAGAAGAGGGCAAAGTTGGGGGCCTCCTATTTGGGTCCCTTGATGTTTTTCCCAGAAGTCAGTAGGAGTGGCACCAGCCTCCACAGGAGCTTACTTGTAATTACAGTTCAGATTTGATATTAAGCTATGTGGTTAAGGTGTGCATGGCCCTTCTCTTTGATCAATGTCAGTTTCATATATTGTTCATGGATGAAGGTCCACTGTCTCTTCATAATTCCAAATACAATGTGGTCCTGTCCTTGGTTGAGCACAGTTTCACATCCTCCTTAGTTCCAGGGGCAAGTGGAGTACTCCTAGTCCACTTGGTTGGAAAGTGAGGATGAATGTTCATAATTCCAGACCGGATGAATTCTGTTCCTTTGGTTGAGTATGGCATACACGATCTCGTCATTCTGAGCCTGGGGTGTTGCTTTTTGAACTTCTTCATGTGGAGAAGAACGTTTGTGAGAAACGCATCACTCTATGGTTACAGATTGGGATCCAATTAAATGTATATATAATATTGCAGTCCAATATCCCTAGCCACCAATGTGGAATATAGGTACCATGACCCCTTAATTCCAACCCCGAGTTGTGGAACCTCGGCTGTCTGTTTGGGGATGGCCTATACTGATGATTACTTGTATTTTATTCCACTTTTAATGTAGGAACTGAGTTCCTGGTGAAGAGCATGACTGTTCTGGATGTAGTGCAGTTCCCCTACTCGTGTACCATCTTTATATTGGTACACTTCTGTTCTATACCGACGCTTTCTGTATGGTTCATGCCTGCACCGGCCCCTCCACCTTCTCAATGTGGGATTCTAGGTATAGTGTCAGCAGAGGTATGCTTTGGAAGTTAACATTTTCCTAAACTGAAAATGTATTTCCAATAATACTTACCTCAGCTGACACTCTCCTGCCGTATCTCCACACTACAAGACAGTTTATGTCTTGAAAAAAGTGATTACATTATCTGAATGAGGTATTTATATGTATTACCCAAATTAGGACTTGCCAAGGGCATTAGAGTGGGGTATATAAAGACTGGAGCAAGCATTTTCAACGCTTGGATGAACAAAGAGTGGAGATAAGTATTATTGGAAATACATTTTCAATTTAGGAAAATGTTAACTTTTTTAATTTTGTTCATGTTCAGTGGCCTGCACTATTAAGCCTCACTATCAACTTGAAAGGTTATAGCATTTCATACAGCCCAATGAGGAAATGTCTGTTTAATGATATGTAGTGGGAGGCCTGCACTATTAAACCTCACTGTCAACTTGAAAGGTTATAGCATTTCATACAGCCCAATGAGGAAATGTCTGTTTAATGATATGTAGTGGGAGGGTAGTAAATATGAAGCTAACTGCATGGTGTATGTAAATACCTTCAAATGATGGGTATAAAAGCACTTGATTCAAATATGCACAGTGGGAAACAAAAGAAGAATAAAAAGGAATCTCATTATCAGTGAATATCATAACTAATTATGTGTCAGTACAACTGCATCTGCAAGCAATTCTGCTAAGAAAACAAATGCCCAAAATACATCAGCACCAGGATCTAGTAGTAGTAGCTAAGAATGAAAACATCCAAATCTTCAACACTCTGACTCTTGGAGCAAGAATTGATATATTTCCATATGAGAAGATGAATAAAGTCTACCATGAAATATGGGACATCTGCAAGAAGATTCTTCTTTCATCTCATGGGCAGACTACAGTTGAAAGAGGGTTCTCTATAAACAAAGAGGTAGAGACCTGCAACATGCAGGAGGATACTTTCAAGACTCATAAATAATAGTTTATGACTGTCATTCTCTGTTTAGGGGTCTGTAATGTGCCCATGTCCCAGGATTGCTTGAACTTTGCAACAAATGCAAGATGAAGGTATAGGGCCTGTCTGGAAGATGAGAGGAAGAAGTTAACAGAACAACAAGATTCAAAAGAGGAAGTTTGTTGAAAAACAACTTAAAATATTGAAGAAGAAGAGGAAACTATGCATGATGTTTATGAAAGCTTGGAAGCCATGTTGACAAGTTTGATGAACAAGCAGAAAGCAAGACAGGGAGCAATGTGGCAGAATGCATCACCAAGGAAATTTTTTACCATGATTAACTACCTTAATGTGTAAGGTTTATTGTACTTGGTTCTCTTTCTGGGTCTGACTATCTTTGAAGTTAAGGGCTGTAAGATTGTCTCATTTTCTTGTGCATTTGGTTTAAATTTCCAGTCCCATTCTACTTTTAATATGGTGGCTTGGTCAGGTTCCCTGGACACCTTCCTGTGTAGGTTTTCTTTTTTACCATTAGATCAACTACATTTATTCTATGTACCTAATCAACCAGTTAACTTGACTGTGATAACAATTGATATTCTGATTGTAGGGAATGAATATTGTTCACTTTTTGGTGGACACTGTAATAGGTATTGATCTGCTCCTTCGCATTGGGTTCATAGAACCATATGATTGTTGGCATGAAAAAAGCAATGGGAGTCCTATACCTTTGTAATTACTAGATAAATCTTGAACATGCTGGTTTAGCTCACACTAAAGCTCTGAGGCCAATGTAGTTTTATTTAGCCCTTGCATATTGAGATAAGCTACAAATGTCTTCTATGTGGTTATTATTTTCAGATAGTGGTAGCCCTATTTTTCTCCTTCCCTGGAGGTGATAGATATTTCTTTCTTGTTCCCTCCTCCATCTCTCTCAGTGTTGAGTATTCTAGCTCAAAGGTATAATAGTGTTTTTTGAAATAACATTTTAAAATTAAATTGAAGTTCAAAGCCATAATTCTACGAATTTTGCCCTCCTCCTCACAGGATAGGTTGAGAAAATGTGACTTTATCAGGTAATAAGGTATCAAGGTTATGGCCATGAAGGTGTAATACCACATGGTAGATAATTGGCCTAAAAGGGTGAGGGGAGAGTAATAACATGATGATACATAATTATTTTGAACAAAGGAAAATGTTATGCAAAATTATGGAATAAATTGGAATTAGTTCTGTTTTGTTTTAGCACACGTCAGTAGCCATTACAGAAAGAACTACTTTACAGTTTCTGAACTGTTCTTAAAGTTCTGAACTAAAGTTCATTACTAAAATCTCATCTTCAAGCAGGTAATCATTTTTTAATTCTTACTACTAAACTATGCTTTTCCTACAAGATTTGAACATAGTATTTCAAAAGCAAATTCTAGTTCTTGTTTTCCTACATACTCCACCATGTACCTTTAATGTATTTCATTAGAGAATCCTGTATCATAAACATCTTAGGATCCCTTTCTTCCTTAGAATTATCATTAACTAGAGGTTCAAATTTATTTGAAAGTTACTTATATCTTAACTTAAACCTTTTTCTATTGTGTATGTTAGTAAATGTAGTATTTTTCCTCACTTCCTTCTCATGAGCAATTCTGATTTTAAGACTTTCTGTTTCTTTTCTTTACTCTAATTATTTCCTCATTCAACGTGCTGTTTTCACTGGCCATTCCTGAAATGTGTCTCAAAACAACCCCAACAACTCTAATAAGCAAGCTTTACAAAAATTGCATGGTCATTCTGACCCACTTGTAAACTACAGATCAACCTGCTGTTTAAATAGACATTTACGGTTAAACTTTTTTGACAGATTTTTAATTGTAAGCTAAAGGCAGTTTGCACTTTAGCAGAATTGTACAAGCAAAAATAATTGGAGGTGTCATTTAATTTTTTAGTAGTGCACCAGATTCTTTTTAAGAAATAATATCATAGCAGTTGGTGAGTTTATGGATTGTGTCCCATTGTGTTTGTCATAACTTGTTACAGAACCTCTTTGAGATGTTATTAGATTTCTTTCTAGCAGTGATCTCATTAAAAAGAACTTGACTGCAAAGAAAATATTAAAAACAAATGTTCTCCGAGATACTGAGAATCAGCAAACTGGTCGAAATGTATTTTTATTTATACATTAACCTGAATTTAGCTGTAGTATATTCGCTAGCAAGTTCAGCTCAGTTTAACAATAATTAAAAAATATCCAATAAATTTTTCTTTGAATCATTGCTTAAAATTCCAACTATCTGTTAAAATGAAACACAAGTGTTATACAAAGTAGATAATAACATTAATTTAACAACATTAATTACATTAAATGTAGACATAATTTACAACTTTCAATAAGAAAATTCTCAAACACAAAACTAGCCATCAGAGGAATCACTAATCTCTCTCACCATCAGCTTGTTATTTGTTTTGGTATTGGTATGTTTGTTTGTGTATTTTATCTTTTGCACAGAAACCAAATTGTTATTCTTTAAAATGGTGACATTTTACCCCCAGATTAGTAGTTCTTCCCCTTTGTCAAGAGAGGTGACATGTGCAATTTGTTTAAAATCTGTGTATGCCCATGGATGTACAGACAGACATCATTATCATTACTATATACTGCTACACCTTTTTAGTTGTGGGGATAAATATACAAACAAATATTAACAAAATCACTGTAAGATTATTTTTTTAAATTATTTAATGCACTTTTTAAAGATACATGTTTAATTGCAAAACAAAGTTTGTATAAAACATTGTTAAAAATTATTGTGGATATATATTTTCTTTAATGCATAATTCCTGCTCATTTTTTGCTGTGTTTTATGTCAACCTTTGAAAACTGCCTAGGGCTTAGTAGACAAGCAGTTAGTAATTTCTTGTACTTTTTGAATTTTATACTGTTGAACATTATGTGTTTATGGGCTTTGATGTGAAGTTGTTTGTAAGTGTGGACTGTATAAGCTCCATGTCATTAAGATTCATTCATTAAATAAATTGTTAAAAGTCAATTTTTTCTTTCTTACAAAATCCGAATGTTAGATAATATTTTTTTTGACAACAGTAAAATTGTGTATTCATACATGAGTTTTTGCTTTATTATAAACTATTTACAAAGAGTTTGTTCAATAGGCACAAAGCCAGATCCACAAAGATACTGTGAGTAAAGCTTCTACACGGGGTATTGATGTTGTTGGTCACTCAACCCCCCCAGATTCTTCCTCAAGCTATGGTGGATGAAGCATTAATTCTGAGTGACCTGTTTGATTTGAATGAGTTAGTAGCACTTGAACTTTTGATAGCAGGTTAGTAGCACTTTAGCATGTGTGTACATATATATATATAAATGTATGTAAACACAAGTATGTATGTATACTGTTTATAGCCCTAGGATGTAAAATAGTAATTACTAATGAGACTATAAATTTAACTTGTGAAACACAAAAAATACATTTTACAATTTATTGAAAGCATTTTTTTTTTGGTATAACTATTTAAAAAGCACTTACTATAGTTATTCCAAACATTTTTCACAAAATTAACTAGAATATAATGGCCAACAAAAAAAGGTAATTGCCCATAATATGCTATCTCTTTTGACTTGAAATACTATTTAGTACTTTGGTGATGGTGGGTGATGTATAAAACTTCATATAGTAACATGAACAACAGATAATACTGAAAGTTGAAATACACATATGTACATATTATGTAGGAGATGGGACGTTCCTGCTTCATGTCTTGTATTTCACATGCATGTGTTTGAAATTTCAAAGTATATTTGGAGGTGGTTAAGTAATTGAGAAGAGAATGAAATCATATAATAATAGTAGTTTGTGGGAAAGAAATTGTTTTTCAGAATCAACCCTTTAAGAGCCTCCTTTTGTTTCTTATAAATTAGTCCAGGCTTAAAAATATTTCTGTTTGCTGTAACCTGACCGACCATCTGAAATTAGGGCCAACTGAGAGATTTTTTGACATCATGACCTGAGAATAATAATTTTAATAATTCAGCAATTACTTTCCATTACAATAATTGAAATAAAGCAGCTTTGAAATGTACTTCTTTGCTTTATATAGGTCAACAACAGCAGCCACATTTTCCTAGTCTTACACGAGGAGTTGTGGCAGTTCTGCTGTATTATGATGGTCACCGTTGTTTGGTTAATGCACTGAGAACCTTAGTTCAAGCTAGAAAAGGGAAAACATGGACTTTAGGGTTAAATAATGAATTAGTGTCAATTATTACCAAGTACACAGATCAGCTGAAGGAGGAAGGACTAATCATGAAGGTCCTAGGTAAGTTATTTTGTGGAAATTTAAATTTTGGTGTCTGTGAGAAACTTTGATAAACTGAAGGTACATTTGTGGTAGATTGAACAATATATCAGAAACAAATGCCTGGCATGTTTTAATAGTTAAACAGCTCATATATCATGCAAAATGCCTTGTAAGTTTCAAATTTTCTTTTTTAATAATCACAACCAATTAGTTTCTTAGTAAGATGCACTTCCTAGTTTGGAGACAATTTTTACTTGCCTAATGAAAAAAATTCTTTGATAGCTGGAAGTTAGATTTGTGAAAGTAGATCTAGTTTTGAAATACATATTACTTGGGCCCGGCATGGCCAGGTGGTTAGGGCACTTGACTTGCAATCTGAGGGTCATGGGTTTGAATCCCTGTTCCACCAAACATGCTCACCCTTTCAGCCATAGAGGCATTACAATGTGATGGTCAATCCCACTATTCATTGGTAAAAGAGTAGCCCAAGAGTTGGCGGTGAGTGGTGATAACTAGCTGCCTTCCATATAGTCTTACACTGCTAAATTAGGGATGGCTAGTGCAGGTATTCCTCATGTAGCTTTGCGCAAAATTCAAAAACAAACAAACATATTACTTGATAGGTTTGAGAACTTTATTGGATTGCAACTGCCTGTTGAGTGAAAAGAGGACAACATTTTGGCTTCTATACTGAGGCCTTGGTATAGAAGCTGAAATATCGTCCTCTTTTCATTCAACAGGCAGTTGCAATCCATTAAAGTTATCAAACCTACCACCTCTTCTCTGGTTTAAGTTCCATTGAAACAACAGATATATTACTTACTTTATATTTATAAACATACTTGTGGATTGAAAAACACTTCTCATACTTACAAGAATTTTAGGTAATATGAATTATTTCTTTACTGTGGCTTATATTATGCATGGGGAAGTCAGGATTCTGACAACAAAGAAAACAACTAATGCTAAAAGATAATGTTTTTTATTGTAATTTTTTAGATTTGCTGGAACGGATTGATCTGACTAAAGAGATAGACAAATTACAGAAGAACAGAGCTCTAGGTGGACCAAGATACAGAAAACAAGTGAGGTTTTTCAAGGTTACTAAAGAATATGGAATAATACTAGTTACACTATTTTTCTTTTTTTCTGTTTTGCAAGTTTTCTGGTCAAGAAAAATAGTTCTGTGTCTTATTTTGCTTAGTGCAATTAGAGCAGGTACTATCTTGGAACATAGTATATCTTTGTAGTTTTTAAACTGAAATCAGTATGTGAACTCTTTTCATACAAGTTCAAAGTAAAGGAATGAGACCAGCTTCGTATTTTTGGTCTCATTATTTTTCTTACATTAATAATAATGAGCATGATTACTATACTATTTTTCTTTGGTTGTCAAAGTGTGTGAATATCTATTAAAGCACAACCTATTCAAAACTTTAAGGTAAAATTGTGATCACATTTATTATAAAACTAGTTAAAAATAGGTAGAAACAATTTTTTTTGTGTGTGATTATTTTCATTGAATATTGTGTCAAATATATTTCAGTAGAATTTTAGTTTTGGACGCTTTCATGCTATAATGATCTTACAGATAATTTTATTATTCTGAAGCTAAATATAAAAACAACATAGAAATTACTTCTTCAAAAAAGATATTTATAGTTCTGATACTTATTTTCTTTCTAATTAATGTACAGGTTGTAAATATGATTGAAGAAATTCGTCAGTCACTTGCAGAAATCATCTTTTGTTGGGCCTGTCAGGGGATGCTGACAAAACAAGAGACATTAAGACTAATTACTCACCTTGCCGCTCACAGTGGTACCTGTGCAGATGGTACTCTAGATAATAGCACCCTTACTTTAGTCATGGCACTAATGTATGCAATTGATGTAGGGCCTCTCCAGACATGTGCAGATACTGATGGTAAGTGGTGAAAATATGTTTTTGGATTTGTTTTTACTAGTCTTCAACTTAAATATACAATATAAATTTATTTTATAGCATATGATTGTGAATTTTTATTTAACATTTCGGAGATTAATATATGGTAAAGCTAATTTTTGATGAATGTGAACAATAAATTTAAGAAAGGTGGAAAGTACTTCTGATTTTATAATGTCACCTGAAAATTTAGAAAAGAAAGTGGGATTTTTTGTCAGTGCAATAAATCAGTAATCAAGACCATTTAATGTTAGTGGAACCTTGTTATTGTTAATAGATGATCAATTTTCATTTCAAAGTAATAAAAATGTTTCCTGATTTATTATTATAAACAAAGTTTTTATTTCTGTTGATTTGTATTCATTTCTGAAACATTTCTGCTTCTTTGGATGAAAAAGGAAGAAATTGGGTAGATGCAATGAATGTATAATTTTTTGTTTTGCAGATTTAAATTAGAATTATATTGTACTGTTTTCATAAATTTTCATACATACCTATACAGTTTATTGTTTATGATATATATATATATATGCTTGTGTTTTTATTCATAGAAGTTGTTCAGAATTTGCTGTTGATAGTAAATACTAGCACAGCCGTAGCTGTGCATAAAGAATTAATGACATCAGGGACCACGTGGCAAATACCAGGATTAAAGGCCATTATACAGCTGTCATGGGCTATCACTCTTCGAACACTATCTCAGTTTCCTCCAGCTTCACAGGGTAAGGACTCACACTAATACTAAAACAAATGTATTTATTTAATCTTAGAAATTTGAAAGTGTAGCCTTGCTTAATAGATGTAATATGTTTTGTTGTTGTTGGCAATGAAAAAACTTTGTTAGTAGACTGAATAGAAATATGGATTACAGAAACTGTTTAAAAAGTTTTCAGAATCATTTTATTATTGTAATATTCTTTCATATTTATTTGATTTTAAAGGTCTAGATTTTGGTAGTTGTATTGAAGAAGATGAGAAAACACTTGACATCGCTGTGGAGAATTCAGCATTTCTTTTTCTTCAAAACCTCATTGTGAGCAGCTCTTCTTTTCATCAAGAGGCAAGTTCTATATTATTAATGAATTTTTTGTTTTAATTAAAAAATAATTACACCTTATGGTGGCTCAGTTGTAAGTTTGATAACTTAATAATGCTAAAAACTGGGTTTCGATACCCATGGTGGACACAGCACAGATAGCCCATTGTGTAGCTTTGTGCTTATCAACAAACAAATAAACAAATTTCAATCAGTGAGGGCAACTTTACAATCATTAACAGAATACTTGAAGTTTAATTTAGAAATTGAGATGAGATGGCTTGGATTTAGAATTATGATTTGAAAACTAAATAAAGCCAACTTTATATATGATGAAAATAGGTTGTATATGCTATAATACATATATATATATATGATATAACATTGAGAAAAAACACACAAATCATGGTAGTTAGCAATGTGTAGAATGAAAAAACATTGTAGATCATATTCAGAGAAACCTTTTAAAATCTTAGTGCTTTTGAGATTTGGTCAGGTGAACCTATCTTTAATGGAAGCAGTGTTATCAGGGGCCTGATGATATTACTCCTGATCAAGATAGGTCCAATTGTTGAAAGTGATAGGGTTTTATTGCTTTCTTTATCTTAATTTAGACATGTAAAACACATTTTTTATGAGAATAGAACATGTATATTTTTTACATTAAATTTATGTATTAGTTTAATCTTATAACTACACAGGTGTTACATGGAACTATTCAATGCAGAAGTGCTTGTGTCACTTGTATCCAGCTGAAATTTATTACTTCTTTCACTTTCTGAGTTGGTTACAAAACTACAACTTTTAGCTTGAGTAGAACTGGTTTTAGCTTTGAATAGGATCATTACTCTTGTATTAGTAAATACACTGTATGTCTTCTAAAAATCAAGATAAGTGCTGATTGTACCAAAGGAGCTTTTTCTTGATAATAATAAAGGATAAATGAAATTTGCATTGTTTTTACTGAACATGGACTCATAGATTGTCTCTGAAACTAACCAAGATACTTTTACTTAGATAGCAGTATTGTTATAGTTTACTTATTTGCTGAAAGTTTTTGTATATGCTTATATTTTATTAGAAACTCTGCTTCATATAATTCTTTTGATCCAAAAATATTGAAGAGCAGAAAAGTTTTTAGAATATATTTAGTAAGTAAATATTTTATGATAGAATGAAAGTGTTTGTTATGAGTTAATTAAATTTTTTTTTTCTGTTCATATTAAGATTTTTTGCTATTGTTGTTACAAAAGAATTCTTTAATTTGTAGGAATTCTTCGTGAAACGTATCCACAGCCTTGTGATTGACTTCATCATTTTAATGCCTCTAAAGGTTTGTGTAGCTTTTAGATTCATAAGTCCTTTTCTGTAATAAATACTTCATTTTTTATTTTTATACTGCTTGTGTTGTAAAAAGTTTGATAATATGTACAAATTTCCTAATGCTTTGATGAAAATCCTTTTAAAACTTAGTAAGTTAGATATTAAGTGACAAATCACAATTTAAATATCATATTATCTATATTATTGTACTTATGGTGGGAAGGACAATGGCCTATGGAAATTAAGTCTAATGAAATTTCATTGAGCTGGAAACTTGTAAGTCAGATAAGTTTGAATTCTAGAATGTATGTTTTTTGATATAATTGCTACTATGTGGAGTTTTCATACTGAGATTTTCGTTGAAGATGATTATTTTTGGATGTAGGTGAAGGAGCTGCGTAACCGAGGTGATGAAACAGCAAGAATTATTGCAGCTCATGTGCAAGAAGGCCTAGAATCACCAGTTAATCTTCCTCGTCACTTTGAACAGCTACTGGAACTGGTATTTTAATACACAATTAAATCTTATTGTTAGGACATTGCCTGGTGATTAGGATATTTGATTTTTAACCTGTGCCTTGCGGAGTTGAAACTTTATATCAAACATGCCTACCCTTTCAGTCTTACAGCAGTTATAATGTATGAGTCAGTCTTACTATTCTTTGGTAAAGAGTGGCCCAATGATTGGTAATAGGTGCTGTTGGTCAGTTGCCTTCCCTGTGGATGACAGTATGAAATTAGAGACAGTGGCAGATAACTTTGCCATAAGCAAACAAACTAATAGGACACTTTCATTACATAACTGGGCAATATTAGTTTTGGGACTTTTTGAAATAACTATTCACACCAAATGTTTTTGTGAAAATGTTTATTTTATATTGCTGCTATTACTTATAAATGAACTTATTTGAATTTGTAAGCTGTTATTAAATAATAAAACTTGAGTAGTATAATAAAACTTAAAAAATAAGAAAGAAATAACCTGACACAAATGCTGTTCATATGCTATTATTTGTGACATGCCAAGGATGAAACTAGTGAATCTATAATAGTTACATGCTTATGACATTGTATATCATTCAAGTGTATCTGGAAAATGAAATAATTCAAAAGACGTGTAATGTTATTTTTTGTTGTTGTTTTTAGATTGCAGAATTATATAGTAAAGATCCATTAGGTTTGGAGTTGATTTCTGAATACTGGTGTCCAGACAATACTGCTGATACCTTTACATATAGACCAATACAACGACAGGTATGTACTGTCACAGTTATTCATGGTTTGTGATATGAAAACATGTTGAAACACAAAGATGTAGTATTATCTAACCAAGTTGAAAACAATTTTTTCTAATAAATTGCAAAATAAGCTGATTAGTGAACCTTCAAATTATTAATGTTTGCTACCAGTGTGATACGCATATTTCATGTTATTGAGCATTTTGTGATTTTTCCAGTTTCAACAACTGGTGTGAAGAACTGATCAAAATATTGTCTCTCATTTTTTCTGTAAAATGCATAGTGAATCCCAGTGGTTATTAGTGGGATGAACTGCAATGTTGGTGGTAGTTTTGTGAGTAATGTGTATAATTAGGGACCTTGTACCCACAAGAAACTGTGTGCATAAACAGTTTAAAAAGTATTTGAAAATGTAATGAGGTCTGTATTGACCCCAACAGTAATATAAGGTTAATCCACATATTTTATTTTTAATAATATCTTTAGATCACGAACATTTTAAACTGGGCTGAATGTAACCTGTAATAAAATTTACAGCTATAAAATACTATTTTATAAGGACATATTTTGTGTAGATGTGATTATACTGACATTTATATCATGACCAATCTAGGTTTCACTGTATAAATTTGTGCGGCTGGCAGGTGATCTGTTACCTGCTTCTCTCTTTGTTCCGTATATGAAGATGCTAACAAGTCTCTCGGGGTCTCCTACTTGTGCACATCATTGTTTTAATCTGCTGAAAATGAATGGACGAAATGCTGGTAAGGTTTTTGTTTTCTACCAAAGAATGGTGCATAAGGTGTTGATTTGAATTCAATTTAAAAGATAACAACTGAAATATGAGTCAGTGTGATGAAGGAATTCTTATTTCTAGTTCACTTCAATAAACCTAACTTTACTTCCATATTATATTTTTTGTATTAGTTTACAAATGCTTTTTATATTATTCTTTATTAAATTAAAAAATGTATATTAAAAAAGGAAGTTTAAGATCCTGATGCTAGTTTTTAATTTTTTATTTAAAGGTACACAATGCAGCATTGTGTCATGGGACCACTTTTTTGATTCTATACACCGCTACTACACAAATCTTCGTCAAGATGCACCTATGACCTCTGACACCCAACACCTGTATCGCCAGCGCCCAATCACACGTGGGATTACACCACAGGAAGTTGATGGGCTTATAGCTGTGCTGAGTCTAATGGAAAAAGTTGTTTTTCAGGTAGTTGAGATGTACTTGTTAGTGTGAAAATTATTGTAATAATGCTTATAATTGACACAAATGAAATTTTAAAAAATCAAACTGTGCAATAGACAAATGAAAAACCAAACATGTTTTTTTAGAATTTAGTTCAAGGAAATACAGTGTGGAAATATAGATAATTTACTTGACAGTTTTATTGTTAGACATTCAGTTGTTAAATGTAACATTAACCCTTTTACTACTGGTACCATGTTTAACTCTCTCAATATGAGCTCAGTCAATTTGACTGACCACATGACCTCTTTATACTCTTTCAAAGTCTCTATAGATTTGATACTGCTTACTTTTAATATAGTGTGTATATCTTCACAAAATTTGAAAGTCTTTCAATAAACATTTTAAGTCTTACACATACGAAAAATCATATATTTTACTGAAGTATTTTTAATAAACTAAAAAATAATATTTGTCCATGAATATATCGAGTATTTGTTTTGGATAGTCTTTGTGCAAAGGGATTTTTCATGTTAAGATTAAAAATAATTCTTTTCTTTATCTCAAAAATTACCCTCTTTTTCTTTCTAGAATGACTTCAAATGTAACATGAACTACATTTGTTCAACCTAAGTAACTTTAAGCTAGTAACAGTAAACATCCATTTATAATTAAATTTTATTGTTTTATTGTCCTTTTATTGCTTTTGAACTGTGTCTAACTACTTTTCATGCCATTATAAGTTATAAATTACTTGGGGAATGTGCAGCTCAGGTTATGCTAGCAATGACATTACCCCATGAGCTACTTTGAGTTGCTTGCTTGTGTGCCTAGTAAAACATTTTTATTATATTATTATTTATATTACCTAAACTAACTTAAAGATGTTCCTATTTTTACATTTTAGTCACTTTTATAATAAGAAATAAAGAATAAACATGAAAAACAAGAAATAAAGTTCTTACCCATGTCTTCTTTTTTTTATTGCTGTCATCTGTTGATGACACTTAACCCAACTTTTTTATACTAATTGTAGTAATGCACAAAATAATTTTTATTTAATTAAATAATGCACCAAAGAACATAAAATAATAACTATAAAAAGCAGACAATTTGCTCTAACTATCACAAATTTTGGTTTATGTTATTGCAATTTGTGTTCAAAGAGACTAAATCAATTACATTTTGTTTTTGTTTTTAGACCCTGTTATAATAGCCCAAAGTTCATATCTGTTAGAACCATAACCTGGCAATTAGTCAGTATCCAAAATTTTGATTAAATTATTGTCTAAACATGTGAAAATGTCCAATTTTGCTCATGATTTGATTAAATATTTCAGCCAATGACTGATTTTGAACTTTGGTGCTTAAATATACAATCATGTATACTGCATGGCTTGATTTAAGACTTCGTATTTTTAAAATGGCCTGTCTGAGAACTTCTTATAGATTTTCGTTTAACTAGCTGTACTTTAGTTTACAGATTATAAATGTATTTCTGTCAATGCAAGCTAGAATAGAGATAATAAACTTTTTGTTATATATATATATGTGTGTGTGTGTGATTTTCCTTATGCCTCAGATTTTGTTGTCTGTTTTACTGTTGTGTTTTTACTGTAACATGTTGATACAGGATGAGACAGCAAGGATTGCTATAGCAGAAAACCCACAGTTTGTGCCTGTGGTGGTATTTTTGGGTTTAGTAAGCTGTAGTGTACCTCCAGAGTTGAAAGCTGTCTTGTTGAAAACATTGTCTGCTTTTGCTCGGACTGTTGATGTAGCAGCAACCATATGGCACCACATGGAAGTTTCTCAGGTGATTCCATTCTTTAGTTGTGTGCCATAAAAAATTTTATTTTTCAGAATATTTTATAATTGGAATTTTTATAACTATATACATAGTGATAACATGAAGCTTGTTATACTGGCCATTGATCATTGATAGTCTCTGTGAGCTGCAATAGCCATGAAAAAACTTTAAAATATAAAAAGAAAGTGTCAAATCTTTATGAAAATTAGAAAATACTAATAATATGGTTGTTCTTGGTAATATTGTTAAGGCTATTATCTCAAGTTTTAATTATACAAATCTTAAAAGAAGTCATCTTCAAATAAATTGTAGGTGGGAAGTAAGAAATCTGTTTTTTAAAGTTATACAGGTTGAAATAATCTTGATAATAATAGGAGATCATAAAAAAAAAAATTTAAACTAATTGATTTCAGAAATATTTTGAGAAAACTATGAAATTTAATTGTCAAATTAGATTTATTGTTTGGTAAAAGCCAAATGAATTAACTGTTTTTAACTTTGTAACAGGTGTGAATGCACTTACCTATCAGCTGTTCCTGAAATAATCATTGAACAATTCCAAGGAAAAACTTAAGCCTAATATTTTTAATCTTATCACATGTATATTTTTCAATCAGTAATAAAATTTCTATATATTGAAAACCTTGTACTTTTTTTAATAAGTATTTTAACCGCTCTTAAACTAGGAAAATGTAACATAATTAAAAAAGATATTGTAATAATTACCATTCCAGTTATTTTAATGAATTTTTATTCTTTCAAGCTTCAGTGGGGTATATTAGCCTTGAAATTTTTAGTGTAGTACTTGGACTTGTTTGAAAAAGATGAAGTTTTGAAAATTGTCAAGATGGTTTTATTAAGCTTGTGTTTGTTACTAAATGTGTTGTTTCATTTGAATATTTTTTTTATCTTAGGCATACTTCCTCACTATTCTTGAGAACTAGTGCTTGTATTATATTGTTTACTAACCAAAATTTGTATCTTCATTACATGTATTTCATACAATATTCTTTCCATTGCTAGCTTATCCCTGTGAGATCAGTTACAGGTTACCATCCAATGGGAATACAGGTGAGATAGGAGTATTTTTTGTATCTGTTTATATATATATATGTAAATCAATATAAACTGTCTGAACTTATTATCAAAAATCTTTAACCTTTATTTGTATGGCTTTACTGTGATATTAATAAGAAAGTCTAACCCACATGTCATGCCTTCCTATTATGATATCCTGTCTTTCAAAGAACATCAATAATTCTCTTTCACAATTGATGTTGAATTACTTATAACCAACAGAAAGAGAAGGCTCTAATTTAATGAATTTTCTATAAGGCTAACTTTTTCTCACCAAAGTTTTTTGATTATTCGTTTTCAGTTTCATTGATTGCTATTGCTGAGATCACATTGATTAGGTAATGGAATTTGTTTAACCCATTTATTGCTTAGAAAGCCAGTTAAATTGTAGGAGTTTTAGAACATTCTATTTTTCTTGTGTGTGATAATATTTTTTGGGTTCTAAATTGCATGAAAGTAAAATGTAAAAATTAGAAACTTACTATATTAGATAAGAAGACTTAAAAGGAAAAACAATAATTAAAGAAAAAAATATACTTGCAAGGAATATGCAAGAGCTGTCATCCATGATGTGATTCAGTATTTTATTTACTGTAATTTGCATTAAGCTATTGCTGGGTGATTTATTGCTTTGTGACATTAGTTAGAAACTGCAGTGAAACAATAAAATCAAATGAGAAGATATGTAAACTGTTACAGTCCTCAAGATAATTGTACAATCTGCTGTCATTCTAGAAAAAAAAAAATGTACTTTTGATTTTATTTCAAATTTTTGCTACAGATGACTTCAATACAATTAGGGTTGGCAAAATAAGAGATAAAGTATAAAGTTTTTACAGAAAAAGCTTAATATCATGAACCACTATAGTGGTTTGTAAGAGGGATCACAAGGAATTGTACAAAACCCTAATAGAATGTTTGGGCAAAAAGCACCTTCAACAGTAAAGATTTATTTCAAACAACACTTTCAAATCTTTACTATTGACTGCTAAGGCTGTGCACATATAAAAATGTACACAAAAAGCACATATGTTAGACTTACAAGGAAAAGAAAATCTGCTCAAAATAGCTAGTTTGTAAATCTTATTATTATTATTCTCTTACCAGCCTACAACAAAAATGGCTTAGTATATTGCACCCAAATATTTTTGTAAAATACTAAATAAGATACTGCGAAGGTCGTGGAGGTATTGAAAAGTCGATTTGTTTCTTCTATATTTTACATAAGCTAAAAAATATCATAATTCTAGTTTAAATGATGCTATCATTACCCCTTTAAATTAGCTTTCTTACAAATAATTGGTGCTCCTTTAAAAAGCTTACATACAGGTTGAAACAGGAATTACCGGAAAATAATAGATGAATATTAGAATACTGTAACATGTAGATACTGAATGCTTTGTACACTGTATAATCTGTGTTTTTAGGGGGCCAACCCCTATATTATGTATGAAGTAAAAGCTCTATCAGCCAGCTACTAGCTATGTTTATTATCATAACAATGTATAAGGTTAGCTATCATACTAAGTAATCCTTTGCCTTTCGTTGAGCATAAAAAAGCCAGCAAACAAGATAAATAAAAAATTGGGAATTTAAAAACCTGCAAATATGGATCATAAAAAATTTAAGGAAACAAAGCTGGAGATCTTGTAGACATTATTTACTCAAACTACAAATCTCTATTTTGACTCCACCAAATGTAATTCTTGATAACAGCATGGAGCAAAAATAGGGGTTTGTAGTTTGAGTAAATAGTGTCTACAATATGTCCAGCCTTGTTTCCTTACTTTTTTTACGATCCATATTTGCAGGTTTTTAAATTCCCAATTTTATTTATCTTGTTCATATAAGAGATTCTAAAGTTATGTGAGTGAAATATGAAAACCATAAGACAAAAAAGTATTTTTATGCTGAAAAAGAAAATCACCTTGCCTTCAGACTAGTCAAAGAGTCTAAGCCAGAATGGATCAATAAATTTGCAGATAAATCTTTAGTAGAAATACTTTTTAATAATTATGATATTTTGTGTATGACATATTGTTAAAATTTACTAAATGCTTACCAAATTTCACGAAAAGACATTTAGTAGTAAATTTAAAATTATAGTGAACATTGCTATGTATAGCTTCACAGAAATGGAGTTTGATGCAATGCACCAAAGCTACACACATAGCATTAATTGAAAAAAAGTTATTGTAGAACATATTTATGCTTGTGTGAAAAATACATTTCAAACTAATATCTGTATTTTACAAAATGATCAATTTTTTGTTTTGTAATTTTCTGTTTCTCAGGTTATTTATTCAGTTTTCGTTTTCAAAGTTTATTTTCTAAATGAAAATTGTGTCATTAGTGGTACATGACTGTTAGCTATTAATTAGTTGGCTTCACCTAGTGCTTATTGATGAGTTTGCTAGTTGAATAAAACTTTGTATTTAAAAGAAATATTAACTTACAATAAAAATAACTACTAGCTATCAAATGAGAAACTGATTTTTAGATATTCAGGATTTCTTCTTTTGTGTAATTTAAATCAATAGTTTTCAATATTCTTTAATAGTTCATTCAAGTGTATGAGTAAAAATTTTTTTTTTATGTTTGTTTAAAAAATAAATCAGAATTGAAAACTCGTGAACTTGATTTTCACATTATAATTGCTAACAGATGGATTTAGAAGAAGTAGAAGCCAGGAATGAGGAGTTTCCTATCACTAGAGCAATACTAGGTTTGATTCACTCACTTTTCAGTAGCATCTTGTCAGAGGGATCAGGAGCTAGTAGTCCAAGCTTTAATCCATATTTGGAGTTTGTTCGTGATTGCGTCTTCTTGAGGTTTCACACAAGGGCATACAAGAATGAAGGAGAAAAGGTTTAATATTATAATTTTTTTTATATTTATAATTCTTACCAGCTTGTTACACTTTAGGTTTATAATATGGTGAAAATGCACAATTTTTCAAAGTTTCAAATACATGGTGGCTGTAAAGTCATTATGAACACTTGGAGCAATCTGTAGGATGAATCTTGTGATTCTTGAATAAGTGATATATTAACAGTTAGTTTGGAATACATTTAATCACTCATTAGTTAGCTGTGTAATTAACACAGATTTCAGGTATATTTAAGAAAAATAAATTCATGGATCAAAGAATATTAACTTGCTGATTTTTGTTTAATAATTATTTGTTGTGCAACTTTTTCCATAATAGGTTTCTCTAAAGTACGTATTTGTAAATTTATACTTTTTGCTCTAACTCCACATTCTATTTTTCGCAAGATCTTAAGTTCATTCATGGGTGGCCTGGCACGGCCAGGTGTTTAGGGCACTTGACTCACAATCTAAGGGTCACAGGTTCAAATCCCCATCCCACCAAACATGCTTGCCCTTTCAGCAGTGGGGAAATTATAATGTGATGGGCAATCCCACCACTTGTTGGTAAAAGAGTTGCCCAAAAGTTAGCGGTGGGTGGTGATGAGTAGCTGCCTTTCCTCTAGTCTTTCACTGCTAAATTAGGGATGGCTAGCACAGATACCCCTCATGTAGTTTTATGCAAAATTCAAAACAAACCTCATTCATGGGCTGCTCTTTTGGCAAGAGACATTTTAAAACCTGAATGAGTTCAAAAGCATGCAATAAATACATCTTACTATAATGGATGTAGTTTGTGTGTGACTGAAATAATAAATACAATGTGACGCCATCTATTGAATGCCACCACGAGTAAAAATCCATAAAAAAATTCACACTTAAGGTATTCAAGGTTCAGACAATTAGAAAAATAACTAGTGTGTGCAAAAACCATTTTTTTATAACCAAACACAACTTTGATTATGAGTACTCTCCTCACAACACAGACTTTCACTAGGACTGTGCATATTATATCTTTATTGATGTACTTTGTAAATATATTACTAAACAAATGGAGTTCTTAAAAACTTTTTATTTTTTCAATAAAGGATACCACTTTTAATATATAAAAAACATTACAATTTATATCAGCACAATCTGAACACTTTTCCTGTGCAGTACTTCCCAGAAAAATCCCTTTTTTTTTCTTAAATGTTCACTTTTTTAGACATTTTTTTCAGTGAGGTATAAATACTCTGATTAATAATTACTAGCACAAATAGTTGCCTGTAGGGTGGTGTTTCTACTAGTATATAAAATTTGGAGGGATCCTTGTAATATAATTTTATTTTTACAACATTCAAAATGACAATCAAAATTAACAAATAAGCATATAGTGTGTCTCATTTTTTCACTGTTTGATACTGCCATTTGATCCACTGTTTCTTTGTTGTGCAGCATCAACCATAGAATCTTAATATGCACATATATACGAGTTACTCAGAGGATGTTAATGTTTCTGAAAACAAATTGCAGCATTACCATAAAAAGTTAGACACGGATCATTTTTAAATTTCATTTATTGTTTTTTAAAAGGGACTAAATTAGTTACTTGCCATTTTTAAATATAGAACAAAACAAACTACTACATCCTTGGTTTTCTATATTGTAGTCATGGGAAAACATTTCTTCTAATGGATTCTAAACATATATAAAAAAATCTCAGTTCTAACTTTACAACAACAGAAAAGTTGGTTTGTTATAATTTAAAAGGAAAGTATTTTTTTTGGTTTTGGTTTGGCAGTAATATGTTAGGTTTAACATTGATGTTTGCCAAAATATGTTTTAAGTATTTCAGTGTATAAAACAATAACTTGACTATTATTTGTAATGTTTTATAATTTTGTTTCTGGTTGTGTTGAATGCCAATTTTAATGCAAAAAGTGGCTAATTCTGCTTCTGTGATTGTTGTTGGTGCAATTCATGATTTTTGCAAATACAGTTCTTAGATAAACTGTGCATTACAATATGATGTTATACCAATTGAAGGTGATTTTTATTAGATTAAGTCTGTATGTTTCCTGTTTGTGTTTTACAGTGGGAAGTAGCAGCCTTGTGCCTTCGTATTCTAGAACAGTTTCTAAGACATTATGACATGTCTCTGGAAGACTTCCTTAGTAAACAGCCTGGTGGTGGTTCCATCTCCTCTGCAGTTCAGGCAGGGTATGCTGTGATGGCTCATCTTCTTCAGGATGGAGGCTTACTTAAAATTATACTGCTTATTTTAGATGAGGGAGTCAGGCTCTTTGATCAATATTCACCAATAACAGGTATGGATTCTTTGAAAATCATTGATACTAAAATAAGTTTATTAACTTTTTACTTGCCAGTATATGGTATTTCACTAAGTTTTTATTTTTATTAATAAGCATTAATAACTCGTTAACTCTTTTGCACCGGCTAGATCAAAGTGAGCATTTCATAACCTTTGACAGAGTTACATTCAAAATTTAATTAAACTGCTTTATTATCAATATATATATGAATAAGCTTGGTATCAAAACATAGTAATAAATCAAATTTTAGTGTCATTTAAGTTTTAAGTTATTAATTTTATAAGGAAATATTTAAAAAAATCTTCAATCTACCCTAGTATGAGAACTGTGACATTTGCTCTTTAGGTTTTCCCTATTTTCTAATTTATTTACAACCTCTATGAGTAGTATGGAATTTAATGTAACTCAGGCAAAGCGTAATTTTATAACCTTCAATCTTATTTGTTTACAGAGCTGTAAACTAGAAAATCAGACCCACTTGCCAAGCTCACCTGTCACATCTTCACTTTCACAAATTACCAATAGTTTTCTCTGAACTTTTATACTATATTATTTATAACCAATGGAGAGCCAAAGGTTTAATCTATCAAATGATGTATTATACTTCATTACTTTCTGTACAGGGCATTGTCTATTTCATCGTTCAACTTCAAATTTATTCTTACAGAAAGCACAGTGACTAGTTTAGCTGAAGAGTTATAGTATAGAAAAATAACATAAAATAAAAAGTTTTTTTTTTTCAGGAAAACAAACATTTAATACTTAATTAACATGTTTTAGGGACTATGCAAATGAAATTTGAGAATTTTCAAATGAAAATGTATTTTTAATCTTAACGTGAAAATCACTTTGCACTTTGAGCAGTCAACAGTGTGACACCATGTAATTACACCAAGTTTTAGTAAAAATACTTAATTACAGATTCCGATTTTTTTGTCTACAAAAGGCTTAATGTTTGCTGAAAGCATTTCAAATTTCACGAAAATACATTAAGTACTTTCATAGTCATAGTATGTATACCACCATGGTTACAAGGTCATGTAAAATATATCAGACCATTGAGATATGGTTAATGTCACCAACTCTAAAACATAGACATTTCAAATATATACCATGATATCTGTAACACACTTTAAATCATGAATTTGATTTTTATGGTTAATTGATGACTTATGATACAATCAAAACCACTATACAATGTCTTTTACTATGCTGTTACACATGTGTTGTATAAAGGCTATACTGATATCTAGTGTTCATACATGTATTATCTAAGAACTACTAATATTGCATGGTATGCTACTTTTTTGAAAGAAATGGTGTGATAAAAATATCATCTAAAGTACTAAAACTAAATAAATAAGATTTATTTTAATATTTTATACATAACACTTGTATAAATACCATATTTATGATATTGTAAGTGTTCAAAAATATGTTATGTCACTTACTGTAACTTACCTTTGACTGATGGCAAAGTATGATCTCAGGGTTCATTGATGGCTTGGACTCGGACTTGTTTAAAAACTGAAGTTATTGCATACAAATAAGAGGGAGACTCGAGTTAATGTATTACATTTATTTGGTTTACAAATAACAATGCCCTAACAAAATAATAAAAAGTTCCATGCTGTTGACATACACATATTTAGTTGACTTGGGGCATTATAACATTTAAATTCTTGTTTGCCTAAATAAGGAAGGAAATTCTACAACAAATAAACTGCAAGGAAGAAAATAATCCCAAGTTTCATATGATGTACTTACAATTTTGAGAACTTTAAAAGCAAGAAGATTATAACAAAAACATGCAGATAGCTGAATTTAGCAGTTTCTGACATCACCAATTTCAAATATTTACTATTTGTGAACTATTTTAAAGAGAAGCTACAGTTCTGTTGAAAATATATACATTTATGGCTTTGTTTGTCTATTGACAAGTTTTTGCTGTGCAGGAGGGATTATTTAATGCTTTCTGGCATCTGAATAAAAATTCCAATTGGAGGACAAAAATTGACAATTAGGGTTAGAGCTTAAATTTGTTTTTTAATTATTTCATCCAAAATAAATGTTAACAAAATTTCCATCAAAAGAAAATTTTTAAATCTCAACATTTTCAGTTATGATTTTATTTTGGAGAAAATTTTTGGGGATATGTCACAAATAATTTGAAATTTGATGTTGCACATTTTCTTTGGGTAATACCCGGAATACTTGGTTAAGCAAACTGAAAATTCTGTTTGAAGAAAATAGTTTATTCTTACTGCTTTTTCACATTATATTATTTTTTAAATTTGAATTCAGTTTTAAGATTTGAATAAAATTTACAGCTGTAATGTTTTGTTTTTGTTACTTAGTTGAAATTAAATCATAATATAAATAGTTATTTGTGTTGACAGGTAATGAAACTATTGCTAAAGAAGCAATTAATGACTTCATTATTGTAATAAAAATGTTGGTATAGATTATTAAAGTAATTGGTTTTCAGTTGACCACATTTTCATATTTTCCCAAAAAATTTTAAGGTAGTTATATTTCTAGCTAGTAAATGCAAATGAAATACAGCATATATATGGAGGTTAAGTACATTGTATTAAAATAATTTTGGAGTATCACCATGTCATTATAGTCCATGTTGCCATATCTAGTCATGCTGTATTTGACAAATGTGCATTTTGAGAATAACCTGGCAGAGTAGTTTCTATTGAAAAATGCTTTGTTGTAAGCCTGTCATGTCCAAAGCACACTACTTCATCCCTGCAGAATCTGTGTAGAGTGCGAGAATGGTGCTTTCCCTTGAGCCCGATCACACAAGATTCCATAGATATATTTTTGTAGGGAATAGCATGATTTTTTTTTTATTTTCCAGCTGCTTGAGTTATGAATGCATATGTCTTGGAAGCAACTTCTGTACACATGACTTGTGTCACTTTTCCTGATTGAGATCCTTTTTTGATTATGTTGATAACTGTTATTTGGAATGTGGATGGTTTTTGCCAAATATCTTTGTGTTTGTGGATTATCACCTGTATAAAATGCCACACTTTACTTACTATGGCTAGGATACAACTTGTTGCAGGTCTCTTTCTGAATGGTCCTGGTGCCCAAATCTATATACCTTTGTGTTCTAATAACATTAAGTGAAAGGAATATCCTAGTTTTGGAAATTCAAAACCTTTGATGTGAACATGTCTATATGGTTGGAGTTTTTTAATATTTTGCATTGGAAGGGCTGTCACATACTCATCCCAAAAGTGATCAGTTTATGGTGGCATCATGCTACTTACAAAATTCCAAACAATCAAATAGCAGAACTTATTCTGGTACATGGTGTTCATTCATGACTTTTTATTGGGTGTGGTTATTATGTGACTTGGTGATATGCATATTCAAAATTATTTGAATATAATGTTCTTGACTTTCTGAAGTTCTGTATGGGGTAAAACAACTTTTTTATTTAATATTTTTCAAATTGCGTGTTTTTACGTATTCTGATAAGAACATTAAGCCTCTTAGTGAACTTATAAAGCCTGTTAAAACATAGGTTTTGAAATTTGTTCTTTTTTTTATATGTAAAAATTCCTTATAAAACCTGTATTTTTTTCAACCAACCTGAACTACATCTATGAATTTTTATGTTTACATAAAAATGTGTTAAAGACTGGACTTTACTGTAATGGTAAACACAAACTTTAACCTGATAAATTAGTAAATGTTCTTTGGGAAAAGATAAACCTATTTTGATTCCAGTAATATTGTGATTTTCTGAGTGGTTCAAGTTGGAAAATTGGTTGTTTGTCACATAAATTTGGCAGAAAAACCTGTATTTTTCCAAACAATGAGCCTATAAAACACCATTTTATGTTATGGTCTATTTTTTATTTAGAATAGACTAGCAAACCTACAACATTTTCTGATGTTTATTATGAGCAGGATTTCAATATTTAATGTAAGAGGTATTTTTCTAGGTCAGAAGTACCTTGAAGAAAGTACTTTGTTGTGTTTGAAACTGCTGGAGATTGGATTGATGAAGCAAGAAGGCTTCATGTACCTCATTAGAGAAAGTGGAAGTGGACTTATGGTAACTGGACTGGACAGACTTTTAATGGGAATTAATCCCCGTTCTGGACAAGCAGATCATCTCATTATCATCACAAAGTAAGGAAAAATATCTGACCTTTGGTCACTGTATAAGTATGTCCAGATCAGTTGTACAGTACTTTAAGTAGTATCTAACTGAAATATTTACACTTATATGCATAAAACTTGTTACTCTATTTCTAAAAATTTTTACATTACATTAAAAACCTCAACTTTTAAGGGTTTTTTGTGTATATTCTTTTCTTATGGAAATATTCAAATTCAACTTTATGTAGTTTGCCTCATGTTATGTAAATAGTCTTTGTAATACAATCACTTTAAAAGTATTTAATATTTCCTTCACCTCTTATTTTAAATCTTCAGAAGTTTTATAGAGTAACATTGCTAATTTACTACAAGTACCTGCTCAAATCACAACATAAAAGCATGTATGAATTTTAAATCTAAAAATAAACTGTTTCAATTGATTTTCATCTGCTTGAATATAATTTTTTTGTGCTGCACTTTTTCTATGAGCAGTCATATTGTACCAAAAATTATATAATTACCTATATGACCTTTGAACAATTACTTACATTCATTAAAAGTATACATAAGTTATAAGGTGTGATGTGGTATTGGCTTTTTCAGGTACTTGACATTCAACACTTTTCTAACAGAACATGCTCTTGCTGTGACTCAAATATTGAATTTACTGTGTCTGAACTCTCAAACTGCACAGCAGTTGGTTGGAATATTATCTTCGGACCCGGTAAGGCAGAGAATTTGTGTTCTTTCGAATAAAGTCATGTTAATCTGGGTTTTAGTTTTTAATTAACTAATTATATTACAAATTATGGTTATAAGAAATACTTGTTAATAGTTCATAGCAAAGCAATTGATAAGGTTAAAGGCTATTATATGAAGAAAAAATATAACAGGATAATTCCCCCCTACTTAACTCATTCAGCACAGGCTCGGTCCCTGGGACTGACCTTGTAACCACTTTGAGCTTGTTATTATTTTTATTCTATAACTTTTAAATTCA